CCGCAATTGATTCAGTTGACACCGATATCTGTCCACAACTTTTGATACTGTAGACGCCGATATCTGTTAATTTGTCCAAAAATGATATGTAGACACCGATATCTGTTATTCTGTCTACAATTGATATTATAGACACTGATATCTGTTATTTTGTCCACAATTGATACTTTAGACACCGATATCTGTTAATTTGTCCACAATTGATACTGTAGACACTGATATCTGTTAATTTGTCCATAAATGATACTGTAGACACCGATATCTGTTATTTTGTCTACAATTGATACTATAGACACCGATATCTGTTAATTTGTCCACAATTGATACTGTAGACACCGATATCTGTTAATTTGTCCATAAATGATACTGTAGACGCCGATATCTGTTATTTTGTCCGCAATTAATACGGTTGACACCGATATCTGTTAATATCTGAATTTTATGTTTTGTATTTTAGGAGTTATTTCCCATGAATTCCACTTTCCTCATTAGCGAGTTCACTCAATAATTGTGTTCAACAGGCCTGGTTAGGAATGCCACACTTTCAAAAATGAAAAATTAACGGCTGGATTTTTTTTTCAGTTAAAACTTTCAGAGCACTAGGCTACCTAAAGGACACATTTCTCTATATTTTGGTGTATAGTTTTCACACAAATTTGTGCAACAAAATTTTTTCGGCGTACAAAAAAGCGGAATGTCCCTTTAATGTATCTGAAAGTTTTACTTTAAGAATCTAGCCGTTAATTTTCAAACTCCAAAAATATTTAAAAGCATCACGTAGGCCTAATGTTCAGCTAACGTTCAGCAAACGTTTATTTGTCCATGTCACAATGACGTTCATTGAACTATAGCTAGGCCTACATTCACTCAATGTTAGCTGGATATTGATTGACTCTTCGTTGAACGTTACATGAACGTTTCAGTCAAATAATTTTGACAACATTTTCTAGATGGCTCAGAGGCGTGGGACTAATGATCAGACCCCCGAAATAGGCCTACCCTTTGTTCAAGCAAAGGAAGTGGGGAAGCTATAACACTTTATTGTATCCTATTCAGAAACAGGGTAAGTGTGAGAGAGTGGCTTGGTGCTTGTGGATCATCATCTTCAACACCTTTCATCTTCCTGTTCTTGGCATGTTTCAGCCAGTTCCCAATTTGCCTACAAGAATTATATTGGCGTCAGTAGGCTAATATTGTTGATTCACCAAGATTCCTACAAATGACCTTTTTAAGAGAAAAAGGGTAAATAATTAAGTAGGCCTACATTACAAGTGTTAATAGGGCGTGATTATCTGGAATTCCTCCGACACTGACAGTATCAACAGATTGACTCATTTCAAAAATCTTTTCATTTCAAGGAAGTGAATTCGTACTAAAATTGTAACGTTTTTATTTAGATTTCGGGGAAGGGAGGGTTTGATTCTCCCAAATGTACAGGCCTAGGGTGGAGCAGACACTTTATTTAGAAATTAGGATTAAGGGTCTTGATATTGGGTTTTCTTCTGTTCTTATTCTGATCTGAAATCACTGGCTATGTGTATGACCTAATTCATAAAATGTTAAAATAACTCAGTTATTGCCCTTGACTCTGAATATTAGGCCTAAACATGATTTCTGAACCGATATTCATTAAATTTGGTATGTATATATTTCTAAAGGGAATTTCGTGTTGAAGTTGGAGAAGCCTGCGACAATTATGGATAGAGCGGTTTTTTTTCGAAATAAGGTATTCATAAATGCTGAACGAAGAACGTCAGTCTACTCAGCTATAATTGGGCACGGTACGGGTAATCTGAAAAATATCAATGCCAAGAGATTTGACAAGGGACAAGCTGGTAGAAAGGATTCGTAACCCAAAGTAAAGCTATCTTTTCTTTTCTTCCAACCGATTTTCATGAAACTCGACAAAATTGTAGCTCCAACTACATGGCAAAGTGGGCGTATTTGGACGACATTATGCTCACAAAATACGAGATATCGATGTTTACAGTATCAATAACTGTGGACAAAATAACAATTGACACTATAGACACCGATATCTGTTAATTTGTCCACAATTGATTCTGCAGACACGGTTATCCGTTATTTAGTTCACAAGTGATACTGTAGACACCGATATCTGTTAATTTGTCCACAATTGATACTATAGACACCGATATCTGTTATTCTGTCTACAATTGTCACCGATATCTATTAATTTTTCCACAACTTTTGATACTGTAGACATCGATATCTGTTAATTTGTCCACAACTTTTGATACTGTAGACATCGACATCTGTTATGTTGTCCACAATTGATACTGTAGACATCGGTATCTGATAATTTGTCCACAACTGATTCTGTAGACATCGATAGCTGTTGATATTTCCATAATTGATACTGTAGACACCGATATCTGTTATGTTGTCCACAATTGATACTGTAGGCATCTGATACTGTAGACATCGATATCTGTTATTTTGTTCACATTAGATACTATAGGCACTGACATCTGTTATTTTGTTAACATTAAATACTGTAGACACCGATATCTGTTAATTTGTCAACAATTGATTCTGCAGACACGGTTATCCGTTATTTAGTTCACAAGTGATACTGTAGACACCGATATCTGTTAATTTGTCAACAATTGATTCTGCAGACACGGTTATCCGTTATTTAGTCTACAAGTGATACTGTAGACACCGATATCTGTTATGTTGTCCACAATTGATACTGTAGAAATCGATATCTGTTATTATGTCCACAATTGATACTGTAGACATCGATATCTGTTATTTTGTTCACAAAAAATGATACTGTAGACACCGATATCTGTTATTCTGTCTACAATTGACACTATAGACACCGATATCTGTTAATTTTTCCACAAATGATACTGTAGACACCGATATCTGTTATTCTTTCTACAATTGATACTATAGACACCGATATCTGTTATTCTGTCTACAATTGACACTATAGACACCGATATCTGTTAATTTGTCCGCAAATGATACTGTAGACACCGATATCTGTTATTCTGTCTACAATTGACACTATAGACACCGATATCTGTTAATTTGTCCGCAAATGATACTATAGACACCGATATCTGTTATTCTGTCTACAATTGACACTATAGACACCGATATCTGTTAATTTGTCCGCAAATGATACTGTAGACACCGATATCTGTTATTCTGTCTACAAATGATACTGTAGACACCGATATCTGTTAATTTGTCCGCAATTGATTCAGTTGACACCGATATCTGTCCACAACTTTTGGTACCGTAGACGCCGATATCTGTTAATTTGTCCAAAAATGATATGTAGACACCGATATCTGTTATTCTATCTACAATTGATATTATAGACACTGATATCAGTTATTTTGTCCACAATTGATACTGTAGACACCGATATCTGTTAATTTGTCCACAATTGATACTGTAGACACCGATATCTGTTAATTTGTCCGCAATTGATTCAGTTGACACCGATATCTGTCCACAACTTTTGATACTGTAGACGCCGATATCTGTTAATTTGTCCAAAAATGATATGTAGACACCGATATCTGTTATTCTGTCTACAATTGATATTATAGACACTGATATCTGTTATTTTGTCCACAATTGATACTTTAGACACCGATATCTGTTAATTTGTCCACAATTGATACTGTAGACACTGATATCTGTTAATTTGTCCATAAATGATACTGTAGACGCCGATATCTGTTATTTTGTCCGCAATTAATACGGTTGACACCGATATCTGTTGTTTTGTCTACAATTGATACCGTGGACATCGATATGTGTTATTTTATCCACAAGTGATACTGTGGACATCGATATGTGTTATTTTATCCACAAGTGATACCGTGGACATCGATATGTGTTATTTTGTCTACAATTAATACTGTGGACATCGATATGTGTTATTTTGTCTACAATTAATACTGTGGACATCGATATGTGTTATTTTATCCACAAGTGATACTGTAGACACCGATATGTGTTATTCTGTCTACAATTGATACTGTGGACATCGATATCTGTCCACAACTGATTCTGTAGACACCGATATAAGATATTTTGTTAAACTGTTAAACAGAAGTGTCATTTTTACTTGTGTCACATCGCAGGGCTAGATGCTTGTTTTTTTCCTTCTGTCAATGGAGAATCATAACCTTGTGTTTTGATTTTCATGAGCACTGAGACACGTTGTGAAGGTAATGATAAAAACCATAAGGTTGTTAAAGTAGGGATTAATTTAGTGTAGACGAACGAAGCCATATAGCCTACTTACTATCTTACACGCAACGAAA